TGGAAAAACAGCACATAAAAACAAAGAACCTACAAAGACATTAAAGATTCTAGACTCGGTGCTCGTCGAAATCACCAATGAAAGTAATTTCTCTATTTCTAAAGATGAAGATAAATCAACGTACAGAGGCTGGCGAGGAGGAAGGTCACGTTGAACCTCTTTCATATACTCCATAAAATTGTTCTCAAAGTACTTTCATTTATTGGAAATATAATTTAATTAATGTCTACAATTCTCAATGCTTATCTTTAATAGGGCATTTTGGCATTTTCAATATTTAGTATAAATATGTTATACTAGCTATCAATATTGTATCCCTAATTTTATCTCCTCTATTTTATATACAACAGTAGTTTTGTTATCATTTTGTTCATTCTTCTTCTCCCACTTCATTACCTTACACCAACAAATTGGTATCTAGAGCACTTGATTCTGTTTTTCCTGGGAAACACGAGTGTTTGTGAGTTGTGTGTTTGATTTTGGTTCATTGATTTTTTTTGTTGAAATCTTGAACAAAAATCTGAACAGAATCTGATTCTGTGGGTTGGGAAACAATGTGTGTAAAGATCTGAAAAAATATGTGCAAAGTTTAAAATAAGTGGAGGCAGTAGTTTGAACACCAAACTCCCAATTTTTAATGGCAAAAACTAGAACATATGGATGATACAAATGCGTGTGTTGTTTGGTGCGCTGGATGTTCTGGATCTGGTTACAGATGGTTATATACCAGCTGCAACAGATACAACTGAAGAACAGAGAACGGCTGAGAGGGTTATGAGGAAGAGGGACCAGAAAGCTTTGTTCTATATCCATCAGTGTGTGGATGAAAGTGTGTTTGAGAAGATTACTGATTCAACAACGTCAAAAGGGGCGTGGGATTTACTGGTGAGATGTTACGGTGGTGATGCATTAGTAAAGAAGGTAAAGCTCCAATCCCTGCGAAAGCAATATGAGAACTTGAACATGAAGAGCAGTGAGAAAATTTTTGAATATATCTCCAGAGTGATTCTGATCACTAACAAGATGAAGGCGTGTGGAGAAACCTTGTCTGAACATGTAATCATAGAGAAGATTCTGAAGTCGCTTACTCCTCAGTTTGATTACATTGTTTTTTCTATTAAACATTCTAAAGATATGGAAACCATGAGAATAGAAGAATTGCAATGCAGCTTAGAAGCACAGGAGTTACGTCTGTCTGAGAGAACTTCTGAGAAAGAAATTGAGCAAGCTCTGAAGGCTTCTTTTGTCAAGAAAGACCAGAAGCAGAATATACGTGGTGATAGATTCCAAAAGTCAGAAACCATTCTGATGATAAGAGATATCATAAAGGAAAGGAGAGGTATGACAAAAGGAAGGTTCAATGTTACTCTTGTAAACAATTTGGTCATTTTGCCAAAGATTGTAGGTCAAACAAAGAAAGGAAATCAGAAGAAGTGTATATGGCTAAGAGAAAATCTGATGATGAACCTGTGCTACTAATGGCTTCTAATTCTGATGAAAAATGCTCAAAAGATTGGTGGTATATGGACACTGGTTGTTCAAATCACTTAACTGGAAACAAACAATGGTTGACAGATTTTGACTCCAGAAGGAGAACAAAGATCAGATGTGTTGACGATAAGTATCTTAATGCAGAAGGTATGGGAGATGTCAGAGTTAGAGTGAAGAATGGGAAAGACATTCTGATCAAAGATGTTTGGTATGTTTCCGGTATTAGAAGCAATCTGATGAGCGTGGGTCAGGTGATTGAGAAAGGTTTCTCAGTTGTTATGAAAAACAATCTTCTGACGTTGTATGATTCCAATCAGAAGTTGATTATGAAGTCTGAACAAGGAAGCAACATAACTTTCAAGGTGAATGTAGAAATAGCTGAAGCAACGTGTCTTAGTGCAGAAGGTGCTGAAGGTGACAGTAAGTTGTGGCATAAGAGATTGGGGCATTTGAACTATATAAGCCTAGGGCATCTATGTTCTAAGAAGCTTGTACATGGTATTTCGAAGATTGTGAAGCCTGAGAAATCATGTGAGATATGCATGAAAGACAAGCAACCCAGATTTCCATTTGCATCAGAAGTAGCCTCCAGAACGAAGCATGCTCTGGGAGTAGTATATTCTGATGTGTGTGGACCATTTCCAGTACCTTCACTTGGAGGAAATAAATATTTTGTGTCTTTTGTGGATGACTTCACAAGAATGACATGGGTAACACTAATCAAGTTCAAGCATGAAGTGTTTACTGAGTTTCAAAAGTTCAAAATGAAGGCTAAGAAGCAGAGTGGTCAGAAGTTGAAGATTCTGAGAACGGATGGTGGAGGTGAGTATAACTCTACAGAGTTTCAGAAGTTCTGTGAGGAGAATGGAATAGAACATGAGGTTACTGCTCCATATACTCCTCAGCACAACGGTCTTGCTGAAAGAAGAAGCAGAACTTTGCTTGATATGACTAGAAACACGCTGAAAGAGAAAAAGCTACCTCACGTGCTATGTGGAGAAGTAGTTGCCACATCAGCATATATTCTGAACAAATGTCCAACGAAGAAGCTAAAGGAAGTTATTCCTTTAGAAAAATGGACTAGAGATAAGCAGAGTGTCAGTCATCTGAATGTGTTTGGCTCCGTCTGTTACAAACACGTTCCAGAAGCTAGAAGATAAAAACTGGATGGTAGAAGCAAAGTAATGTTGCTGGTAGGGTACCACGGTACAGGTGCATATAAGCTTTATTGTCCAGAAACTAATAAAATTGAAGTCAACAGAGACGTTGTGGTGAAAGAGTCTGAAACATGGGATTGTAACAAGTCTCAATCAGATTCTGGTGTAGTGCCAACACCAGAGTTAGTCTCTGAAGATGTTTTAGAAAGTTCAGAAGATGGATCTGATTCTGAAGATTCTGAAGATGAGTCAGAAGAAGATTCTGACAATGGATCTGATTCTGATCCAGACGCTGATGATGATCCAGAATCTGGTAGGGGTCATAATTCTGGAAGGGAAAACTCTGAAGCTAGTAGTTCTGGTGCAGCTTCAGAACAAACTCAGAGACCACAGAGAATCAGACAAAAACCAAGCAGATTTGCAGATTTCGACATGTTGCAGGATAACGAAGTTGACTCTGAAGGGGAAGTTGTTCAGTGTACCATGTTAGTAGATTCTGAACCAGTGGACATTGAAGAAGCTCTCAAGAAGAAAGAATAGTTGAATGCCATGAAAGAAGAACTTGAGGCAATAAAAAGGAATAAAATGTGGAAATTGACTAAACTCCCAGATAAGAAAAAAGTCATAAGAGTCAGATGGGTTTTTAAGTTGAAACTTAAGCCAGATGGTTCAATTGGCAAGCACAAAGCTAGACTAGTAGCTAGAAGTTTTCTTCAGAAACCTGAGCTAGATTACTTTGAGGTGTTTGCACCTGTAGTTAGGCATGAAACAATCAGACTGATGAGTGCTTTAGCTGCAAATAGAAATTGGCCTTTAATACATCTGGATGTGAAGTCTGCATTTCTGAACGGTCCATTACAGGAAGAAGTTTATGTATCACAACCTCCTGGATTTGTGAAAAGAATCAGGAAGGGATGGTATACAGGTTGAATAAAGCTCTGTATGGACTGAAGCAAGCGCCCAGAGCTTGGAATCTAAAAATTGATTTGTTTTCAAGAAACAGAAGTTTCAGAAATGTGAGATGGAATGTCGCGTTTATGTGCAACACTCTGACAACAATATGATTCTGGTGTGTCTCTATGTTGATGATATTTTGTTAACAGGAAGCTGCCTAGAAGATGTAAAGAAGTCCAAAGAAGTTCTGATGAATGAGTTCGAGATGACAGATCTAGGAAAAATGACATATTTCCTAGGGATGGAGATTTTGTACTCGAAGAATTGTATCATTCTGCATCAATTGAAGTACGAACTAGAACTTCTGAAGAGATTTAAGCTGCAGAATTGCAAAGTTGCTGTAACACCATCAGAAACCAATCAAAAATTGGATTCTGACTCTGATGGTGATTTTGTTGATACTACAACTTTCAAACAGTTGGTTGGTTCTCTAAGATATTTATGCAATACTAGACCTAACATTTGTTATGCAGTTTGATTGGTTAGCAGATTCATGAGTAATCCAAAGTGGTCTCATTTCCAAACTGCTGTCAGAATTCTGAGATATATCAAAGGAACCCTGAAATATGGAGTGTTGTTTCCTTCTGAAAGTAAGACAATCAGAATTAATAAGTTATTCTGATTCTGACTGGTGTGGAGACGGAGTGGACATGAGAAGTACTTCTGGATACTTGTTTAAATTTATAGGAGGTCCCATTTCCTGGAGTTCCAAGAAACAGTCTGTCGTGGCTCTGTCAACATGTGAAGCTGAGTATATCGCAGGTGCTGTAGCTACTTGTCAAGTTGTTTGACTTCTGAATTTCCTGTATGATCTGAAGGTTGAAGTTGAGGAACCTCTGAAGCTGGTGATTGATAATAAGTCTGCAATTGATCTTGCCAAGAGTCGTGTTCTACATGGAAGAAGCAAGCACATTGAGACGAAGTATCATTTTCTCAGAAGTAAAGTGCAGAAAAGAGTGTTAGAAGTTCTGTACTGCAACACTCAAAACAGCTAGCAGATCTTCTGACGAAGACAGTTAAAACATATCGATTTCTTCGTTTGATAGATGAAATTGGTGTTGTTAGCTTCTGATAGAATATCTAAATTAAGGGATGGTATTGAAAATATAATTTAGTTAATGTCTACAATTCACAATGCTTATCTTTAATAGGACATTTTAGCATTTTCAATATTTAGTATAAATATGTTATACTAGCTATCAATATTGTATCCCTAATTTTATCTCCTCTATTTTATATACAACAGTAGTTTTGTTATTATTTTGTTCATTCTTCTTCTCCCACTTCATTACCTTGCACCAACAACATTGTGGCTCTTCTGGTACTCTCACCATCCCAGCTCTTCACCAATATGTTCAGAATATGTTGACACTCCTCTCATAATACAAGAACATGTACCTATGTGATTCCCGTTGAATATTGTCTTTCCTTACCGGCTCTCCATGATAGGAGTATCATTGTTGACTTTGATTTAGGTGGCAACAAACATGTCGCTACTTTTGCAGTAGAGATTTCTGAAGAATCAAGACCCAATAAAAAGAAAATTTAAATCTTGAAAGATGGGCTAAGTGAGAAACCACACCAAATATGTATGTCTGCTACATTTTAAATATATAGTTTTTCCTATGCTATCCCAAAAGTTTTGTTGAATCCTCCTAACTGGTTTAGGAATCAATTTGGATCAAGAACTGCAATTACATGGCACCATCAATAATCTCAGCCAAATTACTCTTTTTCTACATAATTTGAAACATACAAGTAAAAACATATGATTTCGAGATAATAGAATTGATCAAAGTGAATTAAAAATTTATACACATTGAGGAACTTTCTCAGAACAAATGAGTTTATGATTGTATTGATATCAAAGCAAAGCTAAGCTAAGCCAGAGTACAAACGTTTGTCGCATACAGACATATATAAATTATAATAATATCAACATCAATGCCAGTCAGCTATACCTCCAAGTGTGGTAGATCCCACTCCCTCCCATACTTCACTGACTCCCAATGCCTCATTATCAACACCTTCCATGTCATAGTCCCACCAGCCGCAGCCATTTGCATCTGCTCATCAAAAATATATATAGTAATGTCAATGCAAAATTTCCAATGCAACCTCTAACAAAACATATGTATACATGTAAATCTTACAGTGATTATATGGTTTTTGCTTTTTGACCTCGAAGTCATTTTTCATCTGCTTTTTTGGCTTCAACCTTGATTCACCTCCAAGAACTACCACATGCTTTCGAACAGTTTGGTTCTCATTTCCACCTATTAACATATAGAACAGAGAGAATCCATAGAAGAAGCAAAAAAAAATAATGATCCAGAGTTCAATAGGTGTTTGATAGTTCAATTTAAAACCTTTTAGTCATATTTAAGTTAGCGGTTTCTAAAGAGCTGCAAGCAGAGAAAGGTAGTATCTATCTGTTATCTTATTATTTCCATTTCTGTCCATTCACTGTTAAACCTCATTATCAGTTGCCTTCATGGATATTTTTTCATGAATTATCACATTCATACCAAATGTCCAATATCAGTATACTCGTCGGGTGAAAACTAGCATCATGTAATAGTTACACTCAAAATCATGCCTACACCACAGCCCAAGAAACAAGTTTGCATCCTATACTATAGTTTTTGGTGTCTTAACCTTAACTGAAATTTATAATGTTATGGTCTGCATATTCTATTGATTTGACCATAAGTTATCTATATGGATAGGTTTTTGAGTCCCGACACCAATCTAGGTACATAAAAAAAAGGGGGTGTTTAGCATTAGACAACTCCATCTGAACTTCTCAATCAGTCTTATGCAGCTGTCCTGTCCCTGTACCCAATACATACAACTCTTTTGCCTCCTCTGAATAATCTATAGTTGATCAATATATTCAGCCGAAAAGAGGATTGCCAACCAACTTTAAAATCAAACAATGAAACCCTAAGAGCAGTGCAAGACTCATACTTGCTTGCTACCAAACTCAAAAAAACTGAAATAATGGCATACATTGAAGTTTCCTAAAGAAGCATATGACAATGAGCGGCATACATAGTATAAAATCAGAGACATGGTGCCTACTTGATCTTCCAAAATGGACTTAAAATGGTTGTCAGTATAAAATCTTTTTTCATGACCATTCCAAGTATAATAGACTGAAACAAATATCTCTCTATGACATCAATAAATTAAACAAAGAACCTCACTTGCAATGACTAATTAGTCGATAAAGTAAAAGACAGTGACACTTTAATTGTATTATTTCCCTAAATAACAGTTTCAACTTTCCCATAAGAATAATAAATAACAGAGCCAAAACGCGTGCTCAAGTTCATTGGGATAGGAATCCAAACCTTCAAATGGATTTTTCCTTTTCCTAGCTCCTTGACCAACATCTGCCACAGAATTTCCTAACTCATCAAGATCTAACGGAGGAACAAAGTCACATTTGCCCTCTTGCTTGAACATTCCCAAAATCAACTTCTCATCAGCAGTTGCAGACTTTCTCTCTTCTTCAGTTAGTTTGACGCTTCCATCTTGCTCACTGGCCGGTGATTGAAAAGGCGTCAATTTCCCCTATTCAAAAACAAATTAGAAAATTTCATCCAAGAAAAGAAACACGTGCTTTTGAAACGAACAAAAATAAATGAAACAAATCAACACACTTCAACATATCCCATATATATTAAATCAGCCCGAAACCCTAAGAGTAATTTTGGATCCAGAATTTTACCGGAACGGTTTGAGGGACTGTTGAAGAGTTATGCAGTTTGCGATCGAGGAAGTGAGTAAGCGATAAACGAGTGGAGTCGCTGTTACGCGAAGCTTGATTTCTCGAACTTGCTTCGGAATCATGAGAGCTGGATTCAGCGAGAGTGAGAAAAGCGATGCAGTTATTGAAGTTGAGGAATGGAATGGGATAGAGATGACTTACGGATTTAGCGGGAGAGAGCGGAATGTTGAGGTGATGGATCGTTGTCCGAAAACCCTAATCGGTGTGGGTTTTTTAGGTTTTGACTTTGAGTTCATTGTGATGAAAGGGAATCTGATCAAATTTTGAGGAATTTTCAATTTGTTGGCCAGTGAGTGAGACACTCGCGAAACTTCATTCTGAGAAAACGAAATTCAAAAACTCTATTTGGGAGTTCGCGCCTAAATAATGGCCTTTCTTAAAAAGAAAAAAATACTACTAGTTTTTTTTTTGTTTTGGAAAATTCCATTTGAAAGAGATTTATGGTGTCTTTGTTTCCGCGGTGGAATTCTTCAATCAATCCAAATAAAGTCTAATTGTCAAAGTAAAAAGTTTTACGACATAAATGTATCACAACCACTCATAAATATTATTTTATTAATAATTAAAATAAAAATCAAATCTAATTTAAAATTTAATGGTTAGTATTTATTTACGGTATAAAATTTCTTTACACTATCGTGCATTCAGGTTAGGTGAGATTGGTTTTGAGTGACCTATTCTATTATCTAATTGATTTAAATTTTAATAACAACTTCATCTTCTTTCCCCAATATGTAGAACTACCTACACTTATTTTCTTCTTCCGCAATTGTAAAACAACCACAAAAACAATCTTCTTCCCAACTGTGTATAGCGAGCACATCTTTTATATTCTCACATTCAATCGCTCAGACCATTGAGGATGAAACCCTCATTTCATCATCTTCTTCTGCCATTATAAAACGAGCATTATTTTCAACTCTGTACAACAAACGAACATTTAATATTCTCTCATGCAATCGCTTCTCGCAAAGTGTGTTGGTGTTCGTATTGATAGCATATTTGCTAAGATTTTGGGTTTAAAATTTAATAATTTCAATTTGTTATATGATTTCAATTTGAGAATTAAGTTTTATGATTGGTGTTGTTATTTGTATTTTCAAATTTAAGGATTTCGATTTTTAATAGTTAGTTAGTTATTACGTTAGATAAATTTTATTTCAATTTGAGAATTGAGTTTTATGATTGATGTTGTTATCTGTATTTAGATTTTAAAATTAAGGATATCAATTTTCAATCTATTAGTTATTCAATATGTTAGTTATGATTTCATTTCAATTTAGAAATTAGGCTTTATGATTGATATTGTCTTATGTTGTGTTATATATTGGCATATTTAGATGGACAACTATGATGATTATGTTTGTGTTGATTTGAGCAATGTTTATTCCACAAATAGTGATTCATTTGATGTTGAATACATATGTGATGAAGATGTTAATGATGTTGTATCTAGTGGATATCAAAGTTCATATGATGTAGATGACGCGGATAATGATGATGAAGAGGAATCGGTTGAAGTGAAGTGGTCAATAGCCAAACAGTTATAAGTGATGTATTGGGGAGCATTGATTCCATTACTTCTGATATATGAAATTTGTGGCATGGGATTTGGAACCGTAAGTGAAGCTTATAATTTTTATTATAGGTATGTAAATGTAAAGGTTTTTCCATTAGGAAAAGTGATGTTAGGCGAAGAGGGCCCGAAGATAGTGAAATAACAATAATAATGAGGTGGTATGTATGTAACAAACATGGATTAAGAGAAAAGAAGCACTTATTTGGGGTAGATAGGAAAAGAGATCACCAACGTCTAAATCGTACTAGATGTGCAGATAGGCTCTGTGTGCACTACAAAGCCAAAAAGGAAAAATATGTAGTGTCAATTTTTGAAGAGGTTCGTAACCATGAATTAACATCATCTAAGTTTATACATTTACACCCCATTTATCTTCAAATTTCTAAAGCAGATAGAACTCAAATTGATGGTATTTAATTGCATGGAAACAAAACTTGTCATATAATGGGGTACATGGTTGCTCAAAAGGATGGATATATTGGTGATGATTTTACAAAGAAAATTGTGTACAAATATTTTGATAAAAAATGTGTGTTTTTATTAAAGATGGTTAAGTTGTTGTTGCTTTAAATTATCTCAATATGAAATCATTTGCCAATCCTATGCTATATGCATAATATTCTGTCAATAATGATGGAAGAGTGAAATCACTTTTTTGGGCAGACGACACTAGTGGATCAGATTATTTCTGTTTTGGCGGCATTTTATGCGTTTAACATAACTTACAAGAAGAACAAATACAATTATTCATCAGTTATATTTTTTGGGTGAAAACACCACACATTGAATATTATATTTGTTGGTACGTTAGTGTCAGATGAAACGACAGATACATATAAATGGTTGTTGAGGTTTTTGTAAGAATAAGATTTGGTTCTGCAATATTATCTCTTAGTTTTGATGATAACAAATAAGCATGATTGTATGAAAAATTTTGTTATACTAATGTTTGTTATTGTTGAATACTTAAAAAATAGGTTTTTCTTTTGATGGTTGATGTGGCCAAGACATTAGAAGAGAATTAATTACGCTTATGTGCTATACAAGTTCTGTTGAACAGTAGCAAGACACTCCAGATGGCTCTCAAGTGTAAGCTCTGATATTTGTTTGAAGAAACTAGTCAAAAGATCTGAAGACAGAAGTTGTTACTTATATCCAGATGTTGAAGACTCAAGCTTTTAAAGACAATTATTCTAAAGAAACCAGTCAGATGATCTAAAGACAGAAGTTGCTACTTAAGTCCAGATGCTAAAGACTCAAGTTTCTAAAGACAGTGTGTTTTAAAGAAACAAAATTAGAAGATCTGAAGACAACGTCTCTACTGAAGTCCAGATGCTGAAAACTTAGTTTCTAAAAGACAACTTGTTTCAAGAAGACAAAGTTAAAAGATCTGAAGACAAAGTTTCTACTGAAGTCCAGATGCTGAAGACTTGTGTTTCTAATAACAAGGTTCTTAAATGGATTCTTAAAGACCAAGTGTTAAAGATTTTAAAGACAGAATTTCTGAAGATTCCAAAGACTTGAAGTTCTAGAAGATCTAAGATTATATACAGTGGGTTCTCAAGACCAAGTGTTGAAGACTCTAAATACACAATGTGATACGGTGGGAGAACTGACTTGGGTGTTTTGCGTTTTGTGTTCGTAAATGTTGCGGTTTAGCAAGAGTCACCACCGACTTTTCTTTTATCCAATAAGGAAAGGTGAAAAAGCACAGGAAAGACCTTTAGAGATGTTTTCTTGAGTTCAGGGGTGTTGTACCCCAAAATTTTCCCTCCCATATTTCTTAAAACATTTCAATAAAGATCCCCAAGTTGCTCAAGGTAGTCCAAGGGTTGGCCAGACAAGCTCTCTCCTAAGGCAGTCTACCTCAAATTAGGGTTTCATGTTGCATCAATATACTTGATTCCAAGGGACCCCAAATGCTCAAAATTATCCTAATATATTCTCAAGATCATTCATGTCAAGTTTCAATCCTTTCAGAGGAAGTTTGCTCAGTCAATTGCTCAAAGGCCTGAAAATCGACTATGCTAGGGCAAAAGTCAATTGTGGCCCACATACAATCAAACTTCAAGATTTTTGGTCAACATCCTCATTTTGAAGTATTATTCATCATTTTATCAAGTATTGATCAGGATTCATCAAGGATTGCTCATAATTCATCAAGACTCAAAAGTTGCTAAATTAGGGTTTTGTAGGAAAAGTTAACTCAACTTTGACCAAGCATAACTTTCTCATACTTTATGATAAATGACCCATCCAAAGCTCATTTTGAATAAGATGAAATTCCATACAATCCATATTCATCTCCCAAGTTCAAAATATGCACTCACAAGAAGTTATGAATTTGGACATTATAGGTCATTTTGAAAAGTCAACAAAAACACCTTTTTTGTCAAAGCTTAATACATGAGCATGAAATATCAAATTGAGATGATACCAAAAGGGTTGATTATATGACATCTCAAGCTTTCTAAAAAGTCAAATAACACCTCTAAAAAGTTAAAATTGAGGAAGTTATGCATTTGTGAAGTTGACCCTTTTTTGCAAAATTGCCAAAAGTCAAATATGTCCAAAATTGCAATTTTTGCCAAATGGGCCCAACTTTTTATGCTTGCATTGAGTTTGTAACATGGTCCACGACCTCTAAGCCCACCCATACATTTTTCTACTATTTATGCTATTTATTTTGATATTTTATTCATTAAAATTCAGAATTAAATAAATAAATAATAGAAATAATATAAATTTTGATGTGAATCTATTTTGGGCAAGTTTTATGCTGGTTTATGTCAATTGATTTCGTGCAATAACCTTTCAAATGTGTCCAGGTTCATCCACATGTGAAAATGACATAAAATCATCAAATATGGCATTTTTTTCAAGTTTTGATCATGGTCTTAAAACACAACATTATGAGGGAGATTCTTTCCATGCTTTCTTGTCTCCTCACTCTCCTCTATAAATATAGAGCCATACATGCTTGAAATACACGAAAATCCTCTCTAAAAAACTCTCAAAAAGCTCTTCAAAAAGCTCTCTAAAAGCTCTTCAAAAAGCTCTCCAGAAATCAAAGAATTGGTGCAAGTCATATCTCGAGGTTCCGGTCTCTCTCAATTGACATCAAGCCTCAAACCATTCTCTTGAAGTCCTCAAGAGTCTTACAAGGCCCAAGAGCAATCCATCACACGCCTAGCACACACCCCATTTGACAACACCGGTTTGATAAAATTTTAAACTTTGAATCTCTAATTTTAACCACATTTTATGTTATGCTAACCTTTGTTTGAGTTTATATAGAACAGTTATGGATGGTTGAATCATAGGTTTCACGCAAGAATAAAAAAATACCATAGTTATAGCATGAAGCTTTCGAAGATTCGGGCCTAGGGATTTCTGATGATTGCACCCCCTGTTTACTGTTGCTACTAAGCCCATCTTTATTTTCATGTTTTATTCGTTTTATTTATTTCTTTTAATCCCTTTTATTTTTTTATCAATAAACAAATATAAAAATCACATAAAAATAGATTTAAGATTTTTTCTTAATTGAATTTTAATTTTAGGTAAGACTTTAATTTCTTTTTGTAAATAACTTAAAAATAATTAGAATAAATAGGTTTTATTACTAACTTAATTATATTTTATTTTTTCCTAAAA